CCCACTCCCCTCGCCACCCCCCAGGCCCCCACCACTCATCCACCACACCCCAGTTGCCCTCACCTGTCACAATGGGGTAAGTCTGCGGCCCCGGCACACTGCTCCCGATATCAGCAGGGGTGGGGCTGGTCAGGTTGGCCTTCATGTCATCCAGCCCTCCAGCCAGCGAGGCCATGGCTGAATACTCGGGGGTCTGAAAGAGGAAACAAAACAGAGACATCTCATCACTGAGACTCCAAAGCACCCCAGCCTAATGCCACTGCCACATTCTGGGCTCAGCTACCTAGCTAGGCTGCCATGCCCGTGCCAAGGCCCCCCAGGGCGCTCATGAATGCCCGGGTGCAGAGAAGGCAGATTTAGCTCGACGACAAGACAGTGCCCAGAACTGACGATCCTGCCCAGGTGAAGAGGTGGGCAGGGTTCAGCTCCTCTGTGGTCTGCAGCCTCCCCTTGCCCAGCCCCAGCAGCAGGACAGCCACCCTCTCAGCATGGGAAGAAGGCGTCAGTAACCAAAGGCAAGGCAAAAACAAGAGCCTTGTGGCCAAGAGGCTGGAAGGAAAGGGTTCTGATTCTGTGCTTTTCAACCATAGACATCGAGTCACAGAAACAAGCTTAGCTGGAATCTGGGACAGCATCCAATCTAAATCCTCATTTCACAGATGAGTAAACTGAGGCCCGAGGGGACAAGGGCTTTGCCCAAGGCTGACAGGGCAGAATCCCAGTCCAGGGGATGGCTCGCCATAACCTGTCACCCCAAATCCAATACATCAGACCAACTGAGCCACAGCTTGGCAAGTGTCTGTGAATTCTGGAAGCGTGTCATCATCTGGATGCTGAATATTGTGGGGTGCATACGTCTGATTTACCAAGTCCATGCCCATCGTGTGCATTTGGCCCATGAGTCACACTCCTTTCTTTAAGCCATTTCATGAAATCAGAGCTTGGGGTGAGTCGTTTCCTTGTCATACAAGACAATGTCAGAACAGTCTCCAGAGAAGGCTGTGAAGATGCCACCTGGGTCTTTCTATTCAAGGACAGGCTAAATTATAAGCATGAGCGACGTGTCTCTTCCTCCCACCCAACTCCCAGGCCTATTTTCAGGAAAAGCCAATATTTGCAAACACCTAAGCCACAGAGTTTGGTTGTGTATGTCAATCTCTGGTGTGAGGAATTCACTCCAGGACCCTGGCATTGTCAGTGGAGGACACGTCCCTGTCTGTGCAGAATTACGTCCTTGGCAAACAGGCACAGGGGAGCAAGTGGTTTCCTGAAGGCGGTGCAGGCACCCTGGGTAGGATTACAAGGACTAGGTCACAGGGAAGGAAGCTGGAGGAGCCACTGTGCAAGTGGCAGGCAGAGGGAACTCAGACTCAGGCACATTTTGATACTTTTCTCTGCAGATGAATGAAAAAGTGCTTCCTGGGCAGCTCAGATGCCAACCGGGGAGGATGGCAGCTGTGAGTCCAGAAGGTACCACAGACACAGCACCCTGAGGTGGAGTCACACTGAGGACAGCTTGTCCAGAGCTCCTGGGGCTCTTCAGTCTTCTCCAGCAGAGGCTGATTCTGAAACGCAGAGAAGAGCACAGGCCCGAAGCCAGCCTAGGTGCTTCTAAAGGAGAAGGAAAAGACGGGTACACGCCTCCTGCTATCAGGAATTCACTATCAAGTTGCAGTAATCAAGACAGTGAGGGATTGGCACAGGGACAGATAAATAGACCAATGAAACAGAAGCAAGTCCAGAAACTGATCCATGCATATAGGGGACCCTGATATATGAGAGAGTTAATATACGAATCAGCGGAGAAGGATGGACTCTAATACACAGTGTGGGGCAACCAGTTATCCATTCAGAAATGGGGGTTGGGGGAAGAAATTGGATCTTTCTTTACACCAGACACAAAAATCAATTCCAGGAGGACTCAAGACCTAAATGTGAAAGGCAATAGCATCTAATGTCAGCAACAGGTCTGGCCGAAAATCTTTGGGAACAAGGCTGCCCTTTTTGGAAAAGGAAACAAGTGACCCTGGGATGCTCACACAGAACTCTTGGTAACTGTTAGGACAGTAGTCCCAAACATCCTGCTATCCTGCTCCAATGCCTCCTCCTCCAGGAAGTCCTTCCTAACTACCATTCTCCAGGAGACAGGAGTCCTGCCTTCACTCTGCTGACCCCAACAAGTAGTGGCAGGGCAATAACCATAATCTTCACAACCGTGTCCAAAGCACACATTTATCAATCGTTTACTCAGGAGCTTTACCTGTATTATCCCATTTAATCCTCACAATCACCCCATAAAGTAGGTTCTATGTTATCCCCATTCTACAGATGAAGAAACTGAAACTTCTATTATAGAGGGGAAGTGGCTTCCCTAAGGTCACCCAGCTTCTCGGTGCCAGACCTAGGATTCAAACCCAAGTCCATCTGATTCCAAAGTCTCACCCTAATTATTTTCATACCACAGTATGTTCTGACCCTTTAACAGATATGAAATCAATCTGTTAGTACCAACATTCTAACAATTGAAATTAGAATGGACTAGAACAGGATAAATCCAAGAGTCTCACACACAGAAAGACTAAGTCCTGTTTGTGAATCTTTGTTTCGCACATAAGTGGATATGCATGTACTAGGTAAGATGAAAATACAAGTATATTTCTTGCTATAGGTCACAACCAGCAAAAGTCCTCATTCCATGCAGCAGGGAGCTGCTGGGAAAAGGTCACTGTCTAGACTTTATCCTCTGCAGAATGGGATGTAATCATGGCACTAGCTTCCTAATTTGCTAAGAGAGAACTTGGAAGTAAAGCTCATCAGAAGGCGCTCCTTCAGTGCGCTGCCATGTGCAAAGATGGAGGTCAAAATGCCTCTGATAAGGTCTCTTCCTAGATGGCATCTTCTGGATTTTCTGGGACCCTGGCGGTAGAGACGGTGCCGCCCTCCTTTCTGTGTTCCTGAGTGACCGTTCAGCGGTTATTGAGCCTCTCTTGTGTGCAAGATGGCGTGTGAAAACCAGGCATGCTCTTTGACCTTCATCCACAAACCCCAAGAGAAAAAACACAAGGCCCCAGAAGCTCCATCCAAGAGGAACAAGAGCCATTAATTTACACAGGGTGGAAAGTGGTCAGGAAAGGTTTCTTAGGGCAGGCTGTATTTAACCTGGGTCTGAGCAACCCCTGACCCCCAAGCCTGAGCAGAGCAGAAGGAAGGCTCAGAGGTAAGAGGATAGGAGTGACCCAGAAACAGGGCACCTGCCAATAGCTGGAGCAGGTGAAAGTAGAAAAGATAAAGATGGAAAGGTCAACAATGGGATTCAACTGTGACAGGCTTACATAATTAACACATGGATAAACAAACGAATAAGTGATCCTTAGAAGGGCGAGGCAGCATCTCAGCCAAGAGTCAGCATCCTTACACCCCTCCTCACCCCACTGCTGGGCTTGCCCCCTTCCTAGATCCCTGGCTGGACAGCTGGGTTTACAGGGGAAAGCCGCTATTTCCCCCAAGAAAGCAGAGCCAAGCTGGGTTTAAGAAAATCACAAGAGGGTGGCCAACAGGGACATTCTGCCTCTTAGTTTCTTTTAATGTCCACATAGAAGGGCCTTTTTGCTATTCAATCTTGTTTTTGTCAACAAATTCAATATCAAAGTTTGTCCAGTCACTTCAACAGTTGGGTTTGGATTATCTTTTCAAGACATAAAATCTTCAACTCATGTTATGCATGTGGTGGAAGGTCCAAAAAGCCAATCATCCTACCACCACTGGCTGCCAGAAGGTAAAGTGGACTTCCTTAAAGATCTGGGGCTCCGGGAACAATGGGACCTGGAAACCAGCCCTCACTACCCTTTACCATCTGTGGCTCCCACCATCTCCACCTCACAGGGCTGCCTCGAGCCCAGCCTCACTTTTTTGGTGGGATCCCACAGCTCTAAGTCTGCTCCTGCATGAGCCAGGGGATGATGTCATTTAGATTTGGTGTGTGATTATTCCCTACGTACTAATCATTGTCTCTCTGAGCTGCCTGTGCTTTTAAAGGCAGCTGTGTTCTCCCCAGCCTCCTGGGCTCCTGGGAACCTCTCTACACCAGCTGCTCCTAAGCCACTCCAAGCACTGTCCTACCTCTGCCTAGAGGGCCCATCTCACTCATTCACTTAGTGACTTCCCACATTGTCCACAAGACCCAGTTCAAATGTCACTCCTCACTGAAGCCATTCCTGGGCCCCACACGCCTACGAAGAAATCATGACTCCCTTGTCTGTGTTTCCATACTTGATTGCATTTTGCGCAGACCTCCATTATCCTACTTCACACCAGGTATAGTGGCTGTTTGTCTATCTCCTTCCAGGTTGCCTTGAAAACATGGAATATGGAACACCCCTAGAGCCTCTTAGGTGCTTGTTGAGTAAGTAAATGTATGGTCCAGTAGCGTGACATTAGCCACAACACTCAGAAATTAACTGGGGAGTGTCTCCACAAAAGCTCCAAGTGATACACTAGCCTCCCACCTCTACTCCTCATCAAGTCGGGTGACCAGAAAATAATGTCCTAGTATTGCATTAGTCGAAGCCCCTGGAGAGGTGCCTTCACTGATCTGTGATGGAATATCAGGCATTCAACATTGGTTAGAGGCAATGAAAGAAAACAGCCATACAAAGAATTTCTGTTTTTTAACCCCTGGAGACATTCCTATTAGAATATTCAAGTTCCATGTCAATCCCTCCTACAAGTCATTACCAGAAAAAAAATGTTTTCTCTTGATGAATGGTGAATTTGCCTCTGATTAAACAATAGGAACACTGGAAACCACTACATGTCCCTCTTTGCTTTGGCTGCCAAGAAGCTCAGTCAAATTCAGTGCTAAATCGCCACAGCTACATCATTGCTGGCACCTGGTGCAATGATCGTCCCCTTTCCTCTACATAACCTCTGAACTTTTTTCAGTCTTAACTAATTTAGATACACTTAATTGTTTATTTTGCAAGACACCACTTTGTGAAAGTGGAGGCTGGGAGAGGTAGAAAGAATGATAGAAAAAAAAATGGGAAGGAAGATCAGGAAAGAAAGAGGAGAGAGAGAAGGCATTGTTAATGCCTCTTTTCCTGGTTATAGGAAGCCAAGGGCTGAACAGTGGGGTACAGAGGCCCTAGGAATGCACATGGACACATAGGCACTTGGAAACATAGCCCCACCCCTGCCCCCACCCTATCCCAGCCATTGACAGTCACAGGCAATAGCTGTGTTCCACATTCCTACTTTTCTGACTGAACTCTTGGAGTCCTTTCTTAGGATATCATTTTGGGTTTCCTCTCCCTTTCCATCAGGGCCCCCTGTTGCTGTCCTTGACTATGACCCAGGAAGAGAAATGAACTGAGGTCAGCAATTCAGACTGCCCACTCCAATGCAACCAATTTGGATAAAACTCTGCCTATTGTCACAGACTTCTGTAAGGCCTCAAGTTCAAGACCACCAGGTACTTACACCTTCCTCACAGACACCATGCTCCAGATGATGGAAAGTCTTGCACTCTCAAAAGTCTGAGCTAGAAGGATACTCAGGGCCATCTTTCCCAACCTGGAAAAACTGGGGTACGGGGTGAGGATGGACTTCCTTAGCTCGTTTTTATCTGCAATATTTCTAGCCTTTGAAACCATGGGAGAAAGAATAGTGAACTAGAAGCGATAATATGAGGTTCTTGCTCCAGCTCTGCCTCTTCGTCACCTGTGTGACCTTAGGCAAGCAGGGTGAGCTCTGTGAGCCTCATTTTTCTCGTTAATAAAATGAGATTTAAGTCTAACCCCTTGCTGCCTGATTGCCAGGGTGATTGTGAGGATCTGAAGGAAAAGGAAAAGGATAGTACTTCAGAAACTAGGCAACATGAAGGGTTAAGGGACCCTAGAATTGGACTCAAGAAGGCACATGCCCCAGGAAAGTGTATGCTGGGTATCATTTGGGTCCCTAGGAAATTACCTGGAAAAGGACTGCCTGGGGCTGCACCAAGTATTGTCTCATCAGCACGGGGCACCACTGCCATAGCATGGAGGAGAAAAGAAACACAGACACGTGAGAAGGAGGGCAGCACGAAGGAGGGCAGAGCAGGGGGACGAGGCTTCAGGGCTGGCTACCTCAGGTGGCCACCTTGGGCCATGAGGCTTCCCCATCACCTGCTGAGCTCCTCCAGGCTCAGCGCTGGGTCTCAGGTGGCCCTCGGGAGCTAGGCCAGAGCCAGGCCAACCACTCCCATCCTGAGAGACCAGACACCTACTCATCTACATACCTACCCAGAGAAGGATGGATGCTGGAGCAGGGGAGATGTGTCCCCAGGGCCTGGCCTAAGGACCTGAGATTGATGAGGCAGAGGGGTCTGGATGCCTGAGGTAGCTGGGGTGGGACAGGGGTCTCTCCCTTTTCTGGCCTCTGCTTCCCCGTCTGTCTGAGGACTTGCACTTGTTCTCTAAGACCCCAGCCACCAGTAATGCTCTCTGCCTCTATAACCGGCCACATGACAAAGTACAGGTTCCCTCTTCAACAGATAAATACTAAGGCAAGAAAAAAGAGATGGAGGGGATTCTATAGGTTAGAGGAGACTCAGAGATGCATCAGTCAATCGCAATGTGGACTCCGATTCCAACAAACTATAAAAACCACAACTGTAAATAAATATTATAATGTAATGAAACATTAGGAAATGCAAACATCAGTTGGGTATTTGCTGACATTATAGGATTTGCTAACTTGTTAGGTGTAGTAATGTTATCATGGTTATGCTTTTTAAGGCCTCATCTTTTATTTATTTTTTTATATAGAAAATAATTTATTCAATACATATATATTGAGTTTTCTGTGTTCAAGATACTATATTTACTGCTACATGAGGATATAAAGATGATGAACTAAAAATATCCACCTTCCCAATTTATATTTCTGTTGAAGGATAAGAGAAAGAAACATGTAGACATAAAACCCAAAGGATGCTGAGCTGATTGTAGTATCTCCAAAATCTTAAATAAATGTTGGGCCCTCCAGTAGACTTACTCAAACAACTTTATACATTTCTTTCCTTTTATAGTGCATAACACAATTTGTACTTATTTTATTTGTGTACCTTTTAAAAATATCTATTACCCCTGTTAGGCTGTAAGTTCTATGAGGACAGGAATCATCATTATTTGTTGGGCTGGGCCATATTTCCTCAGCACCTAGCACAATATTTCGCACATGGAAACACTCAACAAATGGTTTTGAATGAAACAAATATGTGAATTTTAGGGGAATGATAGCAGTACACTTATTTTAAGAAATACTATGTAATAATAGAAAATAACCATAATAATGGTGAGTGTAGTCATGTTGAAAATATTCAGGACATAACATTCAGGGGAAAAAAACATCAAACAATGCTAGAAAATTGTACATAAAAAGTAATCTCTAATATGTAAAAATAGATGCTTAAACAGAGGAAATATATAAAATGTTTCCTGAAGGTTTTCTTTATTTGGTAAATATGAATTAAATTCATCCTCTTCTTTTGTATTCTCTATATTTTTCAAATTTTCTAAAATAATCCAATTTTCCATTTCAGATGATTATGAAAAATAACATTAAATGTTGTTGACAATAGGTCCATCACAGAGTTTTGGGAAGGTTGTAATGATGTTGTAAAGGCATTAAGAGATTATGGCTAAAGAGATGATGATCAGTATGTTAATTATATGCACTAGAGGAAAGGGAAAATGCCCAAGATTGGTCCTGACTCCAGATGATGTAGGACCTTCAATATTAGGGGTTAAGAATATTTTTTTAAAAGTGTTTTTTTTAATAGTCTTAAACAACTATTTAAGCACCTAGTTATTTTATTTAGCATGGTTTTTTTTTCATTATTAGTTTCAGGTGTACAAAACAACATAGTGATTAGACATTTACACACCTCACAAAGTAATAACCCCAACAAGTCTACTGCCCATCTGACGTTACAATACCGTTAACTATATTCCCTATGCTGTACTTGACGTCCCGTGACTATATATTTTTTAATTATAGTTGGCATTACTATTTTATATTAGTTTCAGGTATACAATATAGTGGTTAGGCATTTATATAATTTATGAAGTCATCCCCCCAGTAAGTGTAGTACCCATCTGAATATACGTGGTTTTACAATATTATTAACTATATTCCCCATACTGTATTTCACATCCCCATGACTATTTGGTAACTACCAATTTGGACTTCCTAATCCCTTCACCTTTCTCACCCATCCCTCCAACCTCCCTTCCATCTAGCAACCATCAGTTTGTTCTCTGTATCTATGAGTCTATTTCTGTTTTGTTTGCTTATTCTGTTCTTTAGATCCCACATATAAGTGAGATCATATGGTATTTGTCATTCTCAGTCTGACTTATTTCATTTAGCATAATACCCTCTAGGTCTATCCATGTTGTTGCAAATGGTAGTATTTCATTCATTTTTATAGCAGAGTAATACTCCATTGTATAAATGTACCACAATTTCATTATCCAATCGTATTGATGAGCATTTTGGTTGTCTCCATATCTTGGCTATTGTGAATAGTGCTGCAGTAAACACAGGGGTGCATATATCTTTTCAAATTGGTGTTTTGGATCTCTTTGGATAAATACCCAGGAGTGGAGTTGCTGGCTCATAAGGTAGTTCTGTTTTTAATTTTTTGAGGAAACTCCATACTGTTTTTCATGCTGGCTGCACCAATTTGCAATCCTACCAACAGTGAACAAGGGTTCCCTTTTCTCAACATCCTCACCAACACTTGTTTGTTGATTTATTGATCATAGCCATTCTGACAAGTGTGAAGCGATACCTCACTGGTTTTAATTTGCATTTCTCTGATTAGTGACCTTGAGCATCTTTTCATATGTCTATTGGCCATCTGTATGTCCTCTTTGGAGAAATGTCTATTCATGTCCTCTGCTCATTTTTTAATTGGGTTGTTTGGGTTTTTTGGTGGTGAATTGTATGAGTTCTTTCTAAATTTTGGGTATTAAGCCCTTATCAGATGTATCATTGGCAAATATCTTCTCCTATTCAGTAGGATGTTCTTTTTATTTTGCTGATGGTTTCCTTTGCTGTGCAAAAACATTTTAGTTTGATGTAGTCCCATTTGTTTTTCTTTTGTTTCCTTCCCCAAGGAGATGCATCAGTAAATATATTACTAAGGGTAATGTTTGAGAGTTTACTTCTTATATTTTCTTCTAAGAGTTTTATGGTTTTGGGTCTTACATTTAAGTCTTTAGCCCATTTTGAACTTATTCTTGTATATGGCATAAGAAGATGGTCTGGTTTCATTTTTTCACATGTATCTATCCAGTTTTCCCAGCACCATTTCTCAGACTGTCTTTGCCCTAAAGTATATTCTTGCTTCCTCTGTCACAGATTAATTCAGGTATGGATTGATTTTGGGGCTCTCTAGTCTGTTCCGTTTATCTATGTGTCTGTTTTTATGCCAATACGATGCTGTTTTTATTGCTATGACCTTGTGGTACTGATATCAGGTAGCATGATACCTCCAGCTTTTTTCTTTCTCAGGATTGCCATGACTGTTTGGGGTTTTTATGGTTCCATATAAATTTTAGGATTATTTGTTGTAGTTCTGTGAAAAATGCCATTGGTATTTTGATAGGGATTGCACTGAATCTATATATTGCTTTGGATAGTATGGACATTATAACTATTATATTTATTCTTCCTATCCATGAGGATGGTGTATGTTTCCATTTATTTGTATCTTCTTTAATTTCTCTCTTCAAGAGTGTCTTATAATTTTCCGAGTACAGGTCTTTTACTTTCTTGGTTAAACTTATTGCTAGGTATTTTAATTTTGATGCAATTTTAAATGGGATTGTTTTCTTAATTTCTCTTTCTGATAGTTTGCCATTGGTATATAAAAATACAACTGATTTCTGAATATTAATTTTGTATGCAGCTACTTTGCTAAATTCATTTATCAGTTCTAGTAGTTTTTTTATGAAATCTTCGGGGGTTCTCTGTATATAGTATCATCTCATCTGCAAATAATGACAGTTTTACTTCTTCCTTTCCAATTTGGATGCCTTTTATTTCTTTTTCTTGTCTGATTGCTGTGGCTAGGACTTCCAGTACTATGTTGAATAAAAGTGGTGAAAGTGGACATCTTTGTCTTGTTCCTGATCTTAAGGAAAATGCGTTTAGCTTTTCCCCATTGAGTATGATATTAGCTGTGCATTTGTCATATATGGCCTTTATTATGTTGAGATATATTCTATTCCCACTTTGCTGAGAGTTTTTATCATAAATGGATAATGGATTTTGTCAAACGCTTTTTCTACATCTATTGATATGACCATATGATTTTTATTTTTCATTTTGTTTATGTGCTGTATCATGTTAGTTGATTTGTGGGTTTTGAACCAACCTTGCATACCAGGGATGAATCCCACTTGATCGTGGTGTATGATCTTTTTAATGTATTGCTGACTTTGGTTTGCTAATATTTTTTAATAGGTATTCCTCCTTTTATTTTTATTTTATTTTATTTTTAAAGATTTTTATTGGGGAATTGGAGGAAAGGGAACAGACAAGTTGCTGTCCTTTTGCTCTTCAGTCTAGTTGTGGAGGATGTTGCTTCACTGGCCCAAGTTAGCACCATCATTGCGCTCTTCCCGGGCGTGGCAGATCAGTTGCTGGCTTCTGGACGGCCGCTCATGGCGGCTGCTGGCCACTCACGCTGGCTGCCGGACACACACGGTAGACCATGGCAACCCACTGCAGCAGGGGCTGCAGCCTACGCCGACGCTGGCGGCTCACGGCAGCCCAGCTCCAGGTTGAGCTGTTGTTCAGCATCTTAGCTGTAGAGGGCAGTGTCACTGGCCCTCATACGTGGGATCCGAACCAGGGCCCTCTGGTGTCCCAAGCCAGTTCTTAACCATCGCGCCACTCGGCCAGCCAGGTTTGCTAATATTTTGTTGAGGGTTTTTGCATCTATGTATGTTCATTAGGAATATTGGCCTATAGTT